AAAAAAAAAGAACCTTTTACTTGTGAGACAGTATGGTAATAAGTGGAATGTCATGACAAGAAGTATGTATTTAGAAGACCAGAATGACAGGCATTCCAAACATGACCCTTCTATTACACATTGCTTTCTTTAGTGCAGTTGCTTGTATTTGAAATTTCATTGAAACATTGTTCCTTACTGATTTACTGTAGGTAGGAAACGTTATCCAGTTCCATTGCAAAAAAGGTCACCTGCTCCAAGGGTCTACAACCCGTACTTGTCTCCCTGACCTAACGTGGAGTGGGGTTCAGCCGGAATGCATACGTAAGTATAGTGAATATGAGGTGATAGTTATTATAGGTAAAAACCTCCAAGCACTACTTCTTCTATGAGTTAAAACATATTTATATCTGTACAAAAGATATTAAAAATGGATTTTAGGTTATTATAAAATATTCATGCAATTGTAATTGCTACATCCAAATCCTGTGCCCATTTAGAAATATCTAGTGTTTCTAAAGAAGCCAGAAATTATGTGACATGTACTTTTTTCTGAGACACGTACTATTTTTTCTGTTAAGACCTGATTGATAAGTATGTTTAGCTTGTACACTTGATAACTTTAGATTAAACGATTAGTGCTTCATTTTATAGATTTGCACCTATCAGAAGTAGTGTGGAAAAGCTCCAACAAATAATGTTAAATATTTAAAGTATGTGAAAAGATTGTCTGAGAAGCTGAGGGAAAACAAGGAGAGAATCTCACTTTAAAAAGATATTCATGGACATCTTGAAAAATCTGAAAACTGTTTCATTATTTCTTGTAGCCCCTAAATGGTCATTGGTCTCGAGAGATTAAATAAAAACAAGGCCCAAGATCATGAAGTGCTCTCTCCTGATGTCTGATTCGAAATAAGTTTCACTTGGTCAATTTCTGTCTAGCTCCTGTATATCTCTTCCCCCACATTTTAAAGTCTGAGTCTCTTGTGCTTAAGGGAGAGTGTACTACAATTGAAACTCTCCTCGGGCAGGTATCTCACTTTCAGAATTTGCTTCAGCCCAAGCAGCACTGAGACTTTCCTCTACCTAGACTCAAATGACCTGAACGCCCTTATGGACTAGTAGTTCACATCAAAGCAACACAATTACTGCACTGAGACATCAGGATACCTCCCTGGTTGGCTTATACTGAGTTATGACAAAATTCCTTAAAAGCAAACCCTTGGGAGTATGTACTTTAGAACAATTTTGTGGCTTGCTCTTAAGGCATTTTTCAGTAAATCCATCTTCTTTATTGACCTATATTCAGAATATGATGAGTTTAATAACTTGTATTACTGCTTTTCATCTTACAATTTCTAATATTTGCATACTGTGATTTTGGGGTGCAGTGGCTGTAAATTATTTGTTATAGATTATTCAATTGTATTCTTCTCAATATTTCCTCCAAGAGGTTTAAACTAACAATGATAAACTAATTTTACCACCTGAATTATAGTAAATATAAGCACTTTAGCACAATATTTAGTAGATGGCATTAGATATTATTCATGGCTGTATGAATTTCCATTGGTATAAAAGTGGAAAATAATGTTTTCTCCCAAATAAATTTTCCCACTATCTTTTTTTCAGAGCTCACCTTTAATGATACATACCTATAAAAAAATTGAAAATTCTTTTTGGTTTAGAGAGAAAATTCCTTCTAACACATATTTCTGATTGAGAAATGAATGTTCTATATAAGTTAAAATAAATAAGGAAAACTAGGAGACTAGGGGTCAGCTGTGGTGAAGACAAGCTTAAGAATTCAGAGAAGAAAATATGGAGAAGGGAGCTAAATAAAAAAAGGTGAATGGAAGAGTAAAGATAACATGTGGACTCAATATGCTTTAATTTTCCATATGTAAAAAAATAAAAATGTATTTTTACATAAGGAAATGTTATTGTCAGAGTAACAGGATGAGCTATGGTTGCATTTAACCTTAGAAAATGTTTTATCATTAAAATAAATGAATAAAAATTCAAACTATTATTTTATACTGTTGTAGAAACCTTGAACTTAACAAATATAAACAGCATCTTACTGCAAGAATGTGAGATGCTTTTAAATTCTATTGTACATTGTGATTTTCTAAAATTGGGCTATAATGTACCTTTCTAGCTTGATTCATCAAAGTGAAGTTTTTTTTCCTCATTTAGCTATTAATACCCACCTGTGTTCCACAGAAGTCATTGCTAGAAAATGAAACCAGTAGTTGTGTCCACATTGAGACATTTTTCTTGGTTCTGTAGAACATTCATGCAAAGGCATATTTGAATAATGACATTGGAATATGTCTAAAAGCATACTGTTTTTGTGGAAGATTTCACATTATTCTCTTTGTTTAACATAGCCCACAGCTGTAAGCAGCCCGAAACACCTGCTCATGCAAACGTAGTGGGCATGGACCTCCCGTCGCACGGGTACACGCTCATTTACACTTGCCAGCCTGGCTTCTTCTTAGCTGGTGGAACAGAGCACAGAGTGTGTCGATCTGACAACACTTGGACTGGAAAAGTCCCTGTTTGTGAAGGTAAGCCTCACCCTGTGAGCCATTTGGCACAACGGAGTGAACTACCCATGGATGATAGCAATGAAAACTAAATTCAAATCAGGTTAAAGGTAGTTGGTTGACTAGCTCCAGGGATGAAGTTATATAT